CAAGGGAGATAGGAATCTTTTTCATGTGGGCTAAAAGGTCGGCTAATGGGTTAGTTGATATGTTGGCAAAGCAAGGGAATTTTAGAGAGAATTTGTTTTGGGCAGTAGTGTAACTAGAGGTGGAAACAAATCGAGTTTTTCATGAGCTATTCAAGCTCGGCTCGTGAAAAGCTCGACCCGCATCGGTTTAAGCTGAACTTGAGCCCGATATATAGGCTCATTTGCTAATCGGGCCAATCTCAAGCCCAATAAAGCTCGGCTCATGAGGCTCACAAGCCTGATATACATAATAAATAATTTTTATTATATGTATAGTATAATAATATTTATATATATAATATTTTTATTTTTACATGTACGATAATAAATAATTTTATATGTTTAATTTTTATTTTTTATAGGAAGCTTGGCTCACGGTCAAGCTCAAACCGAGCTAAGCTCAAACATGTAAGCTTCTGAGCTTAGCCAAATTCGAGCTCAAGTCTCTAGCCTGAATCAAGTTCGAGCTCAAGTCTAACATTGTTTTGGCGAGCCAAGCTTGAATAGCCAGGTTTTCAGCTCGAATCCACCCCTAATTGTAACTCAAGATTGTAGAAAACCCATATAATTGAATCTAAGTACAGTCCTTGTAATTGAAATTTAGAGTTAAAATTAATGGAATATAGAGCTTGTTTGGAGTTACCTATGGGTTACAATGATCTTTTCCTTCCTTTCTCCTTTCTACCATTGTAACCCTCAAGGTGCAACATTTCTCATATCTCTTCTCTTCCTCTTATCTATTCAGATCTGGATCTCTATACTTTGCTTATTTATTTTAAAAAAGGCAAAGTAAGAATTTATATACATAATCAAAGAGATCTAGATATCTTTATCTCATAATTAAGATCCCTAATTTCTCTTCTCTACCAACCACACACACCTTAGTAGGACTTTCTCCTTCTTTTCTACATCTCTAAGCCCTTTAAGCTATAGTTGCTGGAGGATTGCTATATGGAGAACCAACTTTGGAGAAATTTGCTGGCACTCCAAGGAACTGTTCTCACCGTGGGGTTAAGTTGATTTTTTTCTTTTATAAATGATGATATCTCATATAATGTGAGGAAGGGATTTCTTCAAAACAGCAAAATACAAGAGGAAGATTTTGAGGAACAGAGACAAAACAGAATGCAAACTTCCCTCACCTCAAAAGCGAGATAAAAAAGGATGCAATCCCAATCTTTCCTGAAGTGATCTTGCTTGAAACCCACCATGGTGATAAGTTATTGTATTAGATTGTTCTACATGCATGCCAATGGGAGATGCAACAGGGAACAGGTTGTCACAACATATGTTCTATATGCAGTATCTAATGTAACTTAGCTCAATTTTACAAAAAGTAGTTAATAGATAGAAATAACAGTTGCAAGAATAATACAAATATAAGAGCACGTACACAATAAACGTAGGAAATTAACTGATCCATTTATCACATTTCATAAAAAAGGGTACCTACTTTCACAATGGTACCTACTTCAGAAGTAAATTCCACTTCTGAAGTGCTTGTTTTTAATGGTCATATAAATTCAATATAAATAAGAATTTTTGGAATCCATTGGGACTTCATTACGGCTCCAATTATGCATAGATATCAATTAATGCAAATTCTATGGTACAAAACAAAATACATCATTTTTCCTGTACAGTACCATGAAATGCACCTCAAGCTACAAATGTTGAAATATGAGCACATTTTATTTATCAATAACAATAAAGCATTTTATTTTGGAAATAAATAAATGTAAATAACAGTAAAGGGATTATCAGCCTCAACTAACCATTCTTGTGAGGTTCAGCATCAAAATATAATTTCCCCTTTGATGTCCAATTCCCCTATATGTTAGATTCCTTGCCAACCCCTGTTTCGCCAGCCTATCTGCTATACTGTTAGCAGGCCTAGGTATGAGGTATCCACTGTATGGTCTCAATTCCTTTACTAACTCTTTAGCTTCTCTGTTAGCAGGCCTATCTGCCCCCTTCAATCATTATATTGTTGTACCTCATAACTTTGTTCCTTTCCAAAGATGCCAAAGGAGCCCTTAGTTCTATCCTAATTGAATCCCCAATGCCAATGGGTCTTGGATACATAAACATGAAATCAATGTTTTAAAAGGCATGGGATGTGGAAGGCATATGTCTGGAGGTGTGCCTCTAGGCCTTGAGGCATAAGCCAGAGGTGTTGATGCCTCTGAGGTGTACACCTCAGGTGCATGAAGTGAAGTGTGCACCTCATGCATGCCTTATGCACTTCTCTCCATCCCTTTTCCTCCTCATCCCCCTCCCTCCTATGCCTCCTTGTGCTCAGGAGGCTTATGCCTCTTACATTCTCACACCTCCAGGTAGTGGAACGCCTCGTATCATGCCTCCACATTTTAAAACATTGACCATGATATCACCCATATGGTTTCTAATCATTCTTATACCTGATGGACCCAGGTTGCCTATGCTGCAACCATCAAAATTTAGTTTGATATACGGTAGCTGTGATTGCCTATGAGGACTGTGATGTTGCACCTCAGGCACTTGCAATACTGATGTTATGATGTTGTACTTGAGTCAATGTGCAACATTAAAGTGCCCATGGTGCTATATTTATGGCTCAAGGTACATTTTGTAGTATCTACCAAAAGACATCTCTATGTACCTAGGGGCTAGGGTTGCTCATAAATTAAAAGGATCATTTACTAAGACACCACCCCTACTTTGCAACCACTTTACTAATTGGTGGTTCTTTTCCATGGAAGTGTTAAAATGACATTTTTCACTCATGTCTATTCAACCAAAATAATTAAAAGAAAATAAGTAACTGAAATGTCAATTTGAAATAACAGAAGAGAAAAAAATAAAAATAAAATAGACAATAATAAGAAAAATAACAGAAAATAATAAATTACAATGAAAAATAAAGGAAGATAACAGAAAATAAAAAATAAAAATATTTTTCTATTATTGTCTTATTTTTCTGTTATCTTCTTTTATTTTTACTTTAATTTTGTTTTTGTCCTTTTGTCTTATTTTCAGAATAAAATAATGTGAGGGAGGGCTTTTGTTTCTAAGTGGAGGGTGATATGAGACTTTTATATGGGTACTTTTGGAATAAAAAAACAATTATTAAAAGGATATACAAACAGTTCCTAATGGATGGTGCATTAAGTAAAACAATTGCAAACTAGATTTTAAACTTACAAACAAGGGCCAAGGAGATTCGAACCCAAGCATCTAAGTTGTGAGGCATCAAATCGAGCACAAGTCCATATCTCGTTTATTAGTTATAATTATCCTAGTTCTAGATTTTAACTTATATTTTATTTTCTTGGTTCATGCTTAAACATATATATTTATAAATATAAAAAATAGTTACACTGGTTTTCTAAGAAATAAAATATAACCAAGCCGTGTGTTGGGTGCCTCCCCTGAGTTCATACTTCACATAAACAATGAAGTATGTGTCTCTGTCTTAATCTTATGTGCTTAATTTGCAGATATTTAAATCTAGATTTACTGTTGATACACTTTTTTGGGGGGTGTATTTGAATTTTAATAACGAATCCATGTTTATCCTAAATTTTCTACTGTATCCATGCATATCCAAAGCGTATCCTGATATATCTCTTAAAATTGCCTTTCCGATACTCTTTGCATTTCCTATACTTTAAACCTTGAACACCACAACACAAAGTGAAGGAAAGTTGTTAGATACATGACATACAGCTAGTGAACTTATTGTCATAATGCCATATGGTAGAGATGAAATATGAGCATTAAAATGCTTACAAATATTACTCCAGCTGAAAACAACGATCCACCATAGACAGCAAAAATATTTATACAATAACACAATGTCCGGGCTTGCTGAAAACAATGAAAAGCACATACTTTCTAGATTTTACATTCAAAATAGAAACATGCAATACTTTTTAGTCATAGTAAGATAAATGCAGTCATACCACACTTTCTGGGACTCCTGGAGAAGGCAAAGGGAGAATTTTTGGCGGAGGACCACGAAGATATGATCTCTTGTCAAATCGCCACTTCCCAATTTTCCCATATGTAAGCTTACCCTGAGTAATCATCTCCACATAAATAACTAGAAAGCAAATAATGAATCTAAATCATAATCAAGAATCATGTATTGATAAAATGAAATTTCAACATCACAGAATAAATAAATGCAAATAAACTAAAGATTGAACTAGCACATGGTTTGGGGCATCAGCTCTTCATGATTTATTAGCTTACCTTTAAAGAATAATCGCATCCATAAGTGTAATGGATGACAAATTTCTTCCCGACTTCCAAATCCCAAGGTGGCTGAAAAACCATTTCAAATACTATTAAGGACATTTTCTGGTAATATATCAATGATCTGTAATTGGGAAGAATTTCGAAAACTAATAAAATAGATAATTAAAGAAGGTAAGATGAAAAACCTGTATCATGAAGTCTTTCTGAAGAATATGTTGCATGCCATGTAATGCAGATGCAACAGCATATGCATACCTTTGTTCAACATAGAAATGGCATAATCATGAGATTGTCAGTAAAACCAAAATGAAATACTCTCTGCAAAAATATAAAACTGTGCATGTATGAAATCCTTCTGAAAATATCCTTACATTTCTAGAACCCATCCAAAAGCCTTGTCAGTCTCTGGGTCATCTTTCATTCTCAATGGCACATTCATCCATGTTGGTGCAATTTTTTCTAGCAAAGACTGAAAAAGGTAGTAGATACCATAGACAACCAACAAATTGAGTGTGGGTAAGGAATAAGGACTATAACAATGGTAAACATTTATACATGGAGAGAAGCAGTCTATTTGAATCACAGCAGAAAGAATAAACCAACCTTCTTGATAATTACAGGAAAATTGCCAATTGGGTCGATATTTGTTACTGGACCTTTCTCTTCTGGATAAAACTTCCTTATTATTTTCTCATTTTCAGCAGGCTTGATGTAGAAAAATGGGAATGCTGCTGGATATCCTCCATGTGACAAGTTAGGGAGAGGATTTACAAAGATGTGATCAGGCTCTGCCATCAGTATATACCTGCATTACTCATGGAATGCATACACATTCAAATTTATTGGATAATCAAAGCACCTAAAATCTTTATAACATAGAAGTGAACTTACTCCTCCTCAATTGTTGCCTTTTCCAGCCATTGCACAAAGGCCCAAGGTCTATTTAAGACTGTTAGAGTTGACTAAACAGGGGGAGGAACAGGGGCACCGCCCCTTCTTTTATTTTAGTATTAGTATTTTTTTCACCAGCTTTTCTAGGTCTAGAATAGAGGCTCTGCCCCCTTCTTTTGTTCTTAATTTCTTGCATTTTTAAGCTTCTTTTTGTTCTCATCATTGGCATCTGAAACAGGGGCTCCGCCCCTTCTTTTCTTCTTCATGTTTCTTCTTTTATTTTAATATTTTTTCACCAGATTTTCTAGGTCTACAACAGCCCGCTTTTTCTCTTCATTTTCTTCTTCTGTTTTAGTATTTGTTCCCTATGTATTGTTGGTCTAAAATAGGGGCTCCACACCCTTCAGGTCTTTCAAATTCTAACTTTCTCACCTTACATCCCCATTCTTCTACCCATTGGGATAGTTCCTGCACCTCCCCCACAGCTACCAGCTCACTTTTGTGCAGATTTACTTACAGATACAATTCCAAACCACCTCAGCAAATCCATTTCATTGTGTAGTTGTTCTTTGGATGTGTCACAAAATAGGAGTCTATCATCAGCATGTCATCAGAGGATTTTGTTGGGCATTATGCTGTGAGAGCAACTAAAAAGTAGAAATATTGTTTCTTCGAACTTTTTTACCTACATGAGTGGAGGTTTCCATATATTCATTGGCTTTTGTGACAGATAGTTATGCCATGAATGGAACGCCAAGGAAAATTTTGGATTTTAGTATACAAATGAAGAATTGGTTAAACAAAAAAATTAAATACAAAACAAGATAAGTTTAAAAAACAAAAGATTTCTCTCTTTCTCCTTAAGTGAGATTTTTTTTTATCAATGCTCTTTAAGTGAGATTTTTAAAGGCCTTGGGCTGGAAAAGCTCATCCATGAAGAATCTCAGATTATAAATTATCAAAAAAAAAAGAATCTCAGATTATATAAGTTGAGGCAAAATAGAAGTATAGGACTATAGGTCTACATGTGACTATGTGAATAGAGACAATGATACAGTCCAAGAAAATTTACTATCTGCAAGGGTGAAAGAAAAGGTGGTTTACCCTCATGAGCTGCTGAACAAAGAGAGTAACATCCTTTCCACATATAGGAATAAATTTGATGCTGAGGAATCAGTGAATCATGCATTTCTGAATTAGTGGTCAATTTTCCGCACAGTTGGCTGTTAGTAGAAACATTGGCAAGTAAAAGGGGGTCTATTGTTAGGAGGCTTGTGCCTTTTGCTGTTTTCAGGCCATTTGGGCTGAAAGAAATGCCTGCGTTTTTTAAAACAAATTGGGTTTTGAAGAGGTGGGGTTAAGGAAAGCTCATTTTTTCGGTACTAAAATATAATTTGTTAAAAGAAAAAATAAAACACAAGAAAGGTGACCACAAGTAACCCAAGAGAAGGAGAAACAACCCTTAACTACAATCTAACCCCAAACTCACAGCCTAACTCCAAAAGACTAACTCCCCCCCAAAAAGATAGACTGAAACCAACCATACAATCATCCCTAAACAACCTTAAGAAAACAGCAAAAACACAAAACATCTTAGTTCCAGACCCCAATGCTTTACATAATTACTATGCTTCTTCAAAGGTTAGTGCAAGAACCTCATTACGTCTCCCAAAGACTTTTTTGCATTTCTTCACCTTTTTGTTAGGCCCAACCTAAGCCCAATAAAATTCCCTTCAACCCAGCAAAAACTTTAGAAACTTGAATATCTAAATGCTTTTATGCCTTCTAAAACGTCATACTGCATTAGGAATTTCTTCAAATCCTCCACATCTTTAGAACTGGCATTAATCTTTTACAACTCTACAACTGCTTTGTTCTCAAATGTTTTAAATTCAACCCCCTTGCTACTTTCTTTTGCAAACCCAACAAATCCAATTGATCTTCTATCTTGGACCTCTTCACTCCTAAGCTAAAGCTATCCGCCTCCTCAACCAAATTATCCTTTTTCCCAGCGCTTCTCCTCCAGCTCTCTAAACGCCCTCCTTGCAAAGAGCATTTTAAGGCTCTTTCATGGAATGATTCACAGTCCTATAGTGTGCATGGATTGTCTTTGCTTGTGTTCTGCTCATTTATTGATATTCTATACTTTATCTTCAGAAGAAAATATATATTCATCATATATGTACATGGAACAAAAGAAAAAATAAATAAAAGACAACCATAACCATAAGAAAAAAGAGGACAAAAAATAGTTTCTTTTAGAGCACCCAAATTGCTTAATGTTAAAAATCATAAAATAATGTAAAGATGCAACTCAGCCATTACCTGTTACATAAATTGTTTTGTACTTTCAGTGGGGGAAAACCCCTCATGAATCATCTTATACACCCATTCTCTACCTTCCATTATCCTACCATGTTTGAAGAAACCATGTGCTAATATGTCGTAAGTCCATCGGTTTGGTTTATATCCTCTGTTGCACATCCTATCAAACAACTTCTCAGCAAAGTCCATTGTTTCACTCATGCATAGTTTTCTCAACAACATATTGTATGTGAAGACGTCAAGTGGAAAGAACTGTTGAATCATTTCATCCAAATTTTCAATATGTTGATTCCCTCTGATTTGAGCAGAAAATATACCAACCAACTCACCAAGTGTCAACCTTCCATATGAAGATTCCTCTCCATACAGATTTCCTGACCGGGACCAAGCATCAAAAAGTTCCCGGCTATTCAAGGAATGAAACAAAAGCACATTGATGATAAAGGAAGAAGGATAACGACCAACTTTCTCTAAGTCACAAATAATCTTCGCCACCGAGTCATAGTCCTTATTTGAGCAGAAGGACTTTACAAGTTCCTCATAACATTCGAGACTTGGCACCAATCCCTTGTCCTTCATATCTCTCACAAACTCTAGTGCCAGATCTGGCTTCCTTGCTTTGCAAAGACCAACTATCATGGTATTGTACAATTTTCTCTCCATCTTCCTTGTCTTGCACAAATCACGAAAGAAGCTCAGGGCATCAGATATACGTTCACTCTTCAGATAACTCTGCAGCAACAGTATGTAGGAACTCAAATTGGGCACCAGCCCATTTCTTGTCATTGTCTCAAATACTTTTCTCGCCAGCTCAGGTTTCTTAGCATGCCCAGCCCCATCAATGAAAAAGTTGTAATCACGACAGTCGGGTTCATGGCGAGACAACTGCACCTCCAGCAATTTCATAAACTGGATTTCTGAATTGTCCATATCTAACAGACAACGGATGACAGCTCTATATAAGTTCCGTTTTGGGGTATGCCCATTTTCTTGCATTTCAATCAAAACCCTGGAAGCCATGTCCCCCCTAGTTGATTTGACAAAACCACGTATCATGTTAATATAAGTTTTCTCCCTATATGAAACTTTATTTGGTCTATTAAGATCCCCATGTATGAGGTAAGCATCTTCTACCCTTCTAGCCTTGCAAAGAGCTGTGATATATTTATCATATACAGCATCACTTAGCATGATATTCCACTTCAGGGATGCATTAACCACCTCCTCCAGCTTATCCAACTTCCCCTCCCTCGATAAAGCATCCGCAAGAACGGAAAAGGTTTTTCTACCAGGGCAGTAACCATGATCAATGGAATTTTTTAAGACCTGATATGCCTCCTCAAAACTTCCATCCCCACAAAGAGTGTTAATGAGATAGTTGTAAGCCATACTATTAAGGGAGAGACCAAATTCTGACCTTGACTTATAAAATTCAAGTGCCACATCCACCATTCCAGCTTTACAGAAGAAACACAGAGCTGCATTCATGGTGACTTTATCAGGAAACAACTTCCTCTCTTGCATCTCCATCAACAAATCAAAGACATCCTGGAGCCTGTTTTGCATCAGAAGCTTGCAGATCAAAAAATTATATCGGAATACACCAGGCACATATCCTTCTAATAACCTTTTACTCTGCATAAATTCAATAGCTCCATCCACTTTTCCAGCTTTAACAAGATCCCTAATCCAGACACTATAAATGGCATCCATGTTGACTTCACTGAACTCCTGAAACTCCTTCATCAATTGACCCGCCTCCTCGAACTTATTCTTCTCACACAGAGCATTCACAAGAGCAACTACTGCATGTTCACTTAATTTCCTTCTATTACTCTTCAACCCATGGAGGAAATCCCAGGCCTCCTGTAACCGGTTCTGCTTACAAAAACTCTTGATTTCCATAGAAGATGTTACCTCGCTATCAAAACCCCTCATTCTGATCTGCTTCAAAATTACCTCAACCACGTCAAAACAATTCTCCTCTATCAACGCATTGAGAAGTACGTGGTAGGAAAAAGAATCTAAATCAAGCCCCTGAAACCGCATTTTTGCGAACAGTTTGAGCGCAACATCTGGCTTCCCAGCAATCGCATATCCCATGATAACAGTATCATGGAATCTGACCTTGTGCATATACCTCTGTTTGGTATATGTATCTAGAAAATCTAACATGAATGACATCAGTTTCTTTTTACATAAAATTTTAAAGATAGCATTGAACGATGCACGGGTGTGATAGTACCCTGGTTGCCGCCCAGCCCAGTCGAAGAACTTCAAACACAATAACACATCTTCCCCATGATTCAAAACTTTCAAAACGAATGGTTCTGTGAGGCGCAGCCCCAATCGAGAGAGCGCCAATGAGGCCAAGGCATCATCTTGAGAAGACAATATCTTGAAAATCTGTCTGATCAAAGGATCTTGTCCGAATTTGAACCATTCCTTGAAGGATAAGGCAACGTCCCTTGTTGGCAAATTTCCAGGTCCTTGGGGCGTTGGTGTCAAAGGAAATAACGTATTTAGAGAAGAAAAAGAGCACACAATAATCCTTTTGTTGAATATCTCGGAAGTAAAAGACCCGAATCTTAAGCATTTATGTATCAGCATCTTTTCGCAGAAACCCTATCATTTAAGCTCGGCTTTCATGGCATCCTAGCCCTGGCATCCGAAACGTTAGAGGATTAAGTGGTCTGAAGAGAAAGAGAGAGAAACGAAGGGCAGACCGGCAGAGGAACGAAGACACTTCGACTTCACCTGAGTTCGGGCCTGCGGCACGACGAACTCTGACCAAGACGGCAAGTCCGCACGGCAACACCTGAAGACCAGACGAGACGAAGGGTTTGCAAATCTTAAAACTACCACCATGGTTTTTAAAACCGACCCAGAGATCGAACCGGTCAAGGTCCGGATAGCGGGTCGAACGGTCCGACCGTTCGAATCGAACAATCGGCCCGTTCTGACAAAAAAAAATTAAAATCGATCAAAACGGTTCAAACGCTTCAAACGCTTCGAACAGCTAACCACCTGGATCAGCGGCTTGCTGACCAAAATCAACAATTTTTATGGAAAATTTTCCGGTCTACCATCCGGTCTGGTTTTGAAAAGCATGGCTACCACGCAAGCTCCGAGGATTTTGCTCGGCGCCCCGGTGGTTTGCAATCAGACTTATTTATACCCTCCCACCATGTTCATTGACGATTTAAGCGAAAAGGCAGCTTTGCCCTTTATTAAGACATGAAGAAACAGTCCCCTTCTACCTTTCAATCCTTCCCGTAAACAAACCCTACCACACCCTCTTCAACTAGAGTCCCTTCCTCATCCTTGCCCTATAACCAAAATCCCCTACCCCACCCTGGCCCATTCCCTAATGGTTGGCAGCTTTAGAGTGAGGCACCTCCTCTAGAGATAGGGAATTTCTAAATTTTCCTGTCCCAAAAATACTATTTATTTGGGTAAGTATTTTTCGAGAAAGATTTATCCGGGTAAGTGTATTTACCCATGTTCTTTTATTTCCCATGTAAATAAAGCAATGACCATTTTAATCATAAAATTCAATTATTAAAAGGGCATTTTTGTCTAATTCAAGTGTTGAAAACTTCCCCCCAAGTGGGAAAGTTATTTACTCATTTAGGAAATGGGTATTGATGTAGCGCGATCCAGTCACTCCTAACTGGCACTCACGTGGCTCCTGGAGGGTACCTGAGATGAGGAAGAAGAAGAATCCCCGAGGAGTTTACCCAATGGGGACACTCCGATGCTTAAGTTAGTACTATGAAGGAGAAGCAAGAAGGAGACGAAGGCTAAGAGTGCAGATAGTGCGTTCTCACTATACTTGAGAGATTAGAGGTTTCTGGAACCCGTTTCTCTTCTACCCTGAGGGCTTTTATAGGGAAACTCACATCAGGTTGGAAATAACCGCCACTGGGCTCCTGCCACAGCCGTTGTGGCGTACGTCTCGCCCAGGTGAGTGACACGTTTCCAAAGTGGCAAGCACGCCTTTGCCTACTGAAAGACGTGGATGCAGACTGCCGAAAGGACTGTGACTACGTCGTCAGTAAGGGATATGGCACAGTCTAACTGGTACGGTCTGTCAGTCAAAAGCTTCCTGGAGAGCGCTCATGCGGTTCATTCGCGAACTATTTTGTAGCGAGCTTGGAACACTCCAGGATTACCCTTAGTGGAATTGGTCCTCGGAATGACTTGTCTGTTTGGGAGCTCAGACGAGCTAATAACTTTGGCTCGCGAGCTAAGGTTGCCTCGGAGTATCTCTTCAAAGGTAGATCGGGGAGCCTGGGGTTCGCGTCGCGGCGAAATCCTTTCGCGAGCTACAACATAGCGAGCTGCTTTGTAGGTCCGTCACTTGGTCGTACCGGGTTACAATGCTGAGTTGTCGCTCGTGCTGATTCAGTGTCCGTGTGTCACCGTTTCATAGGTGGGGTCAGATCGCCCTCCATCAATTGCCCCCCACTCCTTGCGCTAAGAGCACTGCCTTAGCGTAGGGAGTTTGTGAAGCGCGATGGACTGATTTGACCGAAACTCAAACTTAATTGACTGCCCACATTAATGCATTTGCGGGAATCAAGAGATTTTCTAACTTTCTTGACTTTTCGGCTTCCGAAAACGTGCTGAAGTGGCTTTTACCTCCGAACGTCGTGCGGCCGCGATTACCTTAATTATGGAAGACGTGCCGCCAATCACCTTCGGTTTTCAGAAGGCGTGCGGTCAGGGCACCCGCAGACCGTTGGATCTGCTTTGATCCAAACCGTCAATTTGAAAAGGGTGGAGACTATAAATAGGGGGGCCTCCCGGGCCTCATTTTCTCCCACGCCATCTTGCTGTCTTCGGATTCTGAGATCGCGCACTTCATCTAGTCTACCTAAATTCCTCAGTTTGCTTCGTTCCGTCTCTTCTAGTGAGTCTCAATCGCTGTTAGCCATGTCTGGGTACCCATACCACACTTACCACCGGGGCGATAGCCAGGACGACGCTGCTCCCTCGAGCTCAGGGGGAGCCTAGGAGTAGATCCCGGAGGCTCGAGAGGCCTCCAGCGATGTAGCATCTACTTCTAGGGGGAGGGAGCCCGACACTTTCGGCCCTTCCTCCATGACAACGGAGAGATTCATGTCTCTAATCCGCTACTTTTGCCTCCCTGGGGACCTGGTCTACAGCCTCCCTACTGGCAACTTCCCTTGAGAGCATGGTCCCAATGACATAGTAATCTTCCATGAACAACTCGAGGCTGGCTTACGTCTCCCCCTACACCCCTTGATAGTGAAGGTGTTAAATCACTTTAACGTCACCATTGACCAGCTTCATCCCAACGGCATTCGAAACATGGTTGAGACTATATCTTTGTGTTACGAGTACTGTCTTCCTCTGGACCTCGATATTTTTGTCTCCATCCTTTGTATAAAAAATGTTGCTCCTGGGGTTCCTCCGGAGAGGCGCTTTTACTACCTCTCCCCGTCCTGGCTATAAGCTCTTGTACGAGCTGCCGAATAAGATTCCCGCCTAGAAGCGGGAATACTTTGTGGTTCGCAACCCTAAGGGGTGGCCCTTCCCAACTGCTTGGAGGGGCGCCATCCAGGATCCCGGGGCCAAGCTGGACCCCGAAACTCGGAAAACGATGCTATCCTGGGCATCGATAGGCTTCCTTTACTCGGACTACTTGGCCGAGGAGAAGCTCGTGTAGGCTGGCTTGAGCCGGGTAGGTTGTCTTTTTAGGTCGCGTGGTTTCTGTAACGATGTCGTACTCATTCGCATGCATATATTTCATTCTTGTTGGACTAACACTGATGCTCTTCTTGACAGCCATTATGTCTAGTGCCGATTCGCGCCACCTTCTCTCGGGCAGCCAGAGGTGCCACACGAAGAGGACGCGCCCCCGACCGGACTCCCCCCTCAAGAGGTGCTGAGTTCGGGTCTGCCAAGCCAGTTTTGTCCTCCCCTTCGCCTGAGATTCCGGCACCCCCTCCCGAAGGAACTAGTGGGGTTTACTTCAGAGGGGATGAGCTCCCTCATCACGGGGAGGCTCCCGGTAACCCCCTCCAGCCACACCCTTAACCCCAGTTCCCAGTGGAGAAATGGGAAGGGGTAAACGATTACCTCGTGGCTTGCTGGAGGAGTTGGAAGGCGATCACTAACGATGAGGTCGCTTAGTGGGGGAATATGGAGCTCGGGGACCTCGCCGCATTCGCCTCTGCTCACTGCATGGTGGTAAGTGACCTCTTTCCCTTTTCCTCTCTTGTTTTACTCCTCTCCGCTGTCCTCTGATCTTCTCTTCTGTCGGCAGGTGAATTCCGCCATCCATGCCATGGCTCTCCAGACGTGTGTCCATCGTGTCAACGCCCTCGACCAGCGGGCTGCTAACAAGAAGCTCTAGGGCGAGCTCGACCGGATCCGAGGCGAGCTCCATCACACCCGCAAGGGGAGAAAGTCTCAGGAACTGCTCGTCTACGACCAGGAAGCTCAAATTGCCCGGCTTTTTGAAGAGAACACGCGTTACAGGGAGGAATCGTCGAGGATGGCGGCAGAGAGAGAGCTCCTCAGGCAGCAGGTGCGGGACTTAGAGTCCACTCTTCTAAATCGGACTCAAAACTTCGATCAGATGGTGGAGGCTGAACGAGAGAAAGCAGTCTGCGATTTTAAAGACTCTCAGGAATTCCACGACCTCCAAGCGGAGTATGGTTCGGGTTCGTACCGCTTTGGATTTAAGCTTTGTTGGTGGCTAGTTTGGAAGAAGTTCTCCGGACTCAACCTCGATGGCATTACTATGAAGGGTCTGTCTCCTAAGATGGCAAACCAAGCGGAGGAAGAGGAGCCTGACTCCCCAGAGGATGAGGAGGTGGATCCCTGATGCAGTGTTTCTCTGGACTTCTGGTGGCTTCCGGGTACCATAAACCTGGTCTTTCACAAGTCTTTGGTTGGGCGGTTGTGTCCTGTGATAGTCAGACTTTCCCGAGCTGTTTAGCTCGGTTACCGCATTGTTATTTTTCTTCTCTCTCTCTCTTTTTTTTTTAAGTGACAATGAAAGTTCTCCCTTTTTTCTTCCAAGTATGATGTGCTCTCTTTATCTTCGCTAAGGCGATCTCAACACCCAAGCTATTAGAGCCACGTACCCGAAGTAAAACTCTTCGATAATTGTTGCCTTGAACTGTTCCTCAAACCATTTAAGGCATCTTTATGGTACACAACAAAGCGATTACCACGTGTGCCCGAACTATATGCTCATTGGTTATTCTCTAGTTCGATCATCGTGCTAGAACAAGCTATGCTTGGCGGGGTTTAAGCCCGAGTTGCTTACACTACTCACTTGAAGTTCGCCCATGTCATGAAGACAACTAGGTCTGATTGCGCCGAGATCGTGTTAACCCGGCATTTTGGCCCTTAGGCTCTGGGCGTGATTTATAGTTCACTTTTGAAGTTCGTCCGTGCCGCAAAGGTGACTGGGTCTTATTGCGTCGAGATCGTGTTAGCTCGGCATTTTGGTCCTTAGGCTTTGGGAGTGACTCGTGGCCTACTCAGTTGTTACAGATAGTATTGTCTTAAGTTGACAATATTCCATGCCCGAAGTACTTGTTGCCCTTCGAGAGTCTCGAGCTCATACGTTCCTTCCCCGAGTACTCGTCTCACTCGGTAAGGTCTTTCCCAGTTAGACCCATGCTTGCCAGCGCTGGGCTCAGGTACCATAACCTTTCGAAGAACCAGGTCGCCGATGCGGAGGTTCCGCTTCTTAACCCTGGCATTATAGTACCGAGCTACTCTCTGTTGGTAGGCTGTAGTCCAGATATACGCGAGGTCCCTTACTTCGTCGAGTAGATCGAGGTTGG